ATTTTTAGGGGAATCAGGATAATTTACGAGCGGACATCTGAAATTCGCAACTATCTTGAAAAATAGACTAAATAGATAGTCGATATCCACTGGATCTGAACTCTAATTAGTGAAAACTAAAAATTGAAATTATTGCGGTTTGCATACCTCTATGATTAATTTTTTTATGAATAAATGATTGTGATTGCTAAAGCCGGCCAATTTACTATAAATCTGAGGTTGTGTCAATCTCAGATTTATGATAAATTGGCCGGCTTTAGCAATTACAGAATTACAATTATTTAATCATAAAAAAATTTAATCATAGGGGTCACAAACCGCAATAATAGACTCGTAATTTATTCTATAACCCTTTTTATACAGTATATAATCGACTCTATACAGTATAGCGAACCTCTATAACGAACTCCAAGCGCGAAATAACGCGCAGGGGTTAAATTTCAAATTTTGGCTTAAATTAAGTTTAATTCGGGCCAAATTTCAAAATAACGCACCTGCGCGTTATATTATTAAAAAATTAACTAGTTTTTTTTGCGAACTTGAAATATAATAAGTTTAATATTACATTAAAAGCAGACCTAGTTATTCTTTAATTGGTGAAGATTAAAAGAATGGCTTGGCCGATTAACAATTAACAAAATCCATAGTTGACGAAAAACGAGAGCGAGTCAGAAGTTAAAAGTAAAATACAAACTTTACGTTGATTACAGTTTATTTAAAAATTGCGAAGGTATTTTTCACGTACGATACATTACCAAAAACTTTGACATCGTCGCTTTATTAAAAAATATTAAACTGCAAAAATATTATACTGATCTTTTAATGATATTTAGCCATCAAATTATAGGGAGAAGCGCTGAGAATAGCTTTATGAATATAAAGATCGATGTATTTAAAATAAAGTAAAATAAAATTATAAGTTATAATCAACATACAATTTTCATTTTAAACTTATAAGGATGTGAGATCGCAGCTGAAATCTTTGCAACTGAATCCAACCATTAATTCTAAGATCCTTAGCATAGCGGGGAAGACGTACAGTAAATATTGTACCATATTATTATGCTGTATTATTTATTTTCTAAACTAGATTAACAAATGACCTTTACTATGTTTACACGAATAAACCAATTATATAAATAAATACTATAAACTTGATTCCATTAAATGAATCAATGATTTGATTATGTTGATTTTATCATTAGTACTGTAAAATTTCTATTTATCCACTAAATTTATGCGAATATAATGTGTAAAAATACTGTAAATGTTATAAACTTGAATAACTTCAACATAATAATCTTTATGTTAACAGTATTAATAAGAGTCGTATTAAAAAATTTTTAATTTAAAGCTATAATTATAAATATATATATGTCAGACAAATTAAATAATATTTAAAGATTAATAAAGAAATTAATTGGTGTTTTTTATAGCAATTAGTAATAGTATAGATAATTAGAATTGTATAATATAAGATATATAATATCTATTGTCGCGACTGATGCTGAAATTTGAAGATTTGATTTAAAAACATAAGTCCTGCTAAAATCCACCAATACTCTTTAACTATCAAATTTAACCCTAAACCCTGACCTAACCTTAAAAAAAAAAAAAGGTTGAAATAAACACCAAAAAAATTTAAATTTCATATAAAAATAGGTTCGCCGTGAAATTTATTATAAAACTACTATATACAGTCGATATGTACTGTCTAAATGCATACTGCATACTGTCTAAATAAATTTTTTAAAGAAATGGTTAAATGCATAAAATTTTTGATTTTTTTTTGCCTTTCCTGATGGTATGCATTTAGGCTGTATTATATTATATAATCTGTTATACTATCGCTATATAATATCAGATTATATAGTATAGTATACCAGTGTTGTTACAAAGTGAAAATCACTAGAACTAGAAAGCCTACTAAACAAAACTGCATCGGGAAATTTCAGTTCTGCAAAAAAATTAAAATGAAAAATCTAAGCAAAACTTCAAATCTGGTAGCTATAAATGCGGAAATTAAATGCTACGTATTTCTGTATAAACTTCAAATTTGCAGATTTACACTTATTTAATTTTCCCGATGATAATTTCAACTCAACCTTAGTTATTAGACATCTATAATCGACAATCACGTGACTTTTTCACTTTTAAAACTGCCAAAACTTTTTATACAAGAGGTTTTTCAAAAAACTGGCCGGTGATTTATAGAGCTAAATATTAGATGTCTTGCACCATAGTAAATCTTTCGCATAATATATATATTACTTTCCTAGGTAAATACAATATAAAACTTACAGCTACAAAAAATACTTAAAATAGTCATTTGTTTATATGTGATCGCCAATCACAACGATTAAATAATTGATTAATTATATAAAGTCGTCTTGGCAACGGCTAGTCTGCGTAATTGGTTTATCGGATTATAAAATCCCCATTTTTCAAAAGGTTTATTGTGAGAAATTTAGTAAAAAAAAACAACAGTAAAGTTTTCGGATATCCCATGAATGAAAATAATGCGATATTTTTAAAGGAATAAAAAATTGACCATTTATTTTCTTGTGGATTATTTTGACGATTTAATTTATTAAACTATTTTTAATATATAAACAAAACTCCTTATATTGTTCTCTTAACCTGAACCAATATAAATTTATAATTCGATATAAAAACAAACATGAGTTTTGCTACGAATTGCTTGATCGTAGCAAAGCAATTTCAGACTTGGATGCTAACAGATTATTTACAATAATTTATTGATATGAAATAATAATAATAATAATAATAAAGATTGATAATACATGTCATTCCCGGTATTTACATTTAAAAAACTATATTCTATAAACTACCAAGCTCCATCAGTAGCAGCTGTAATAGCTTCCTGTAGACTTAAATGAAGGTATTTCTTTCTAAACGTTTTCTCAATGATCTCATTTGGAGCTTCAATCTCAACTGGAGTAATATCTGAATTTTCATCAGATTGCTCTTCAACAGATTGAATTCCAACGTCAATAAGGAAATTCTTTTGTTTTGGTTCACCAAATCCAGCAACTATTAATGCACGTTGTATTTTTTCATTAAGAATATTTGCAAAATGATATTCTATAACATCTCCAGTGTATCTATCTAAATTCTTTT